AAAGGGTAAATATGCAAATTTGGTTATGTATTATTTTTCTAACAGCATTTGATAGCCTAAACTATCAAGTGATGCAAAATAAACTATCAACTTTTAAAAATGGAGCATCCAATGCCAAAAATTAGAAAGAATAATTCATAACTAAATTAAGCTGAATTAAGCTTCTCTCACACGTAATAAAAATTAAGCTTATGCTTTTTGACTACTCTACTTTAACCTTCTTTTTTTTTAATATATTGATCCTTTTTATTTTTTTATTTTTAAAAAGAAGAACAGAGAAAGAGAATCAAGAGACTAGAGGAGGGAGAACAACATTAAGCTTTTGGATGGCATATATGACTTTAACATTTACAGGTAAAGTTATTAATTTTAATTAATTAAGGGTATTTTGGAATTTCGATAGAATTTTTTTTTTTAAAAAAAGGAATAAGACTCAAACCAATGTTGTTAATCTACATGATTCAATTAAAAAATATTTTATAAATAGAATTGGAAGGAACATTTGCTATTTGTCCTTTAATTTGTTAAAAATGTTAAATAAACCAACCACCCTCTTGCTGTTTTCTCTTGTAAATTCGTGACCATGTTCAGATAGATAAGGCAACTCCTAGCGCACGACAATTCATTAATCCATGGCCACCTACACTAATGCCAAGATTCCCTTCTTCTTCTTCTCCTTGCATTTTTCTTTTCTGATCATCGGATCATGAATTGGATGATTATATTTGATCTCCTGTAAAATTGTTATTAAAAGGTTAAATTATAAAAATATAAAATAATCAAATCTAAATTAAATAACTAAAATTTAATTTGATGTTTAAAAGTGAACTAAAATAAAATAAAAAGAAATATTTAATAGGATATCAAATCTGAACTGTCCAAATATTAATCTTGTGATTAGAAATTAAGAAAAGGAAGGAAAGACAATAGGGAGGAAAGATGGTAGAATTATAATCCATTCGAAAGATTTCGTTACTTGTAACTGGTTACGATAAAAAAAATGCTTCTTATTAAAATTAATTTAAAAATATTCAAATAATTTCTCAAAATAATAGAGTCACATGATTTCAGTCCCAAAGAGATAAGATGGCAACTTCCGATCTTCTTACGCTAATTGATTAGGGTTGGAAAAGTAAAACACTACCTCCAATATTCCTATTACAATACAAGTACGGTTTGCGAAATTCAATAAAAACGAAAGAGTTCGGATAAAAATAAAAAACGGCGAGGAAAACATCATAGTCATTGGAATTATCATGATTTTAATTTTTAAGGATTAATATATTTAATGGATCATACTATCAATTTAAACAAAATAAATTATAAAAACTTAATTTAAAATTGAGAAAAATTATAAGAGTTTTAATTTGTGGATTAATTTTCCTTTTGTAATACGTTGCACAAAGTTAACATAAAACAAAAACTGAAATTTCAATTTCAAATACTGTCACTTTTGAATGATAAGATTGAGTTTTTTACTTTTGAATTATTGAATAAAGACAGCGTGTTTTGGGGTCCAAGGAAATGGAAAATGGACAACACTTACTGATCGCCAAAGCCACAAACATCTTACCTACCTACTCTCACTCCCAGTTTCCAAGTTCTCTCCTGCGAAATCTGGTCATCGCGCGCAGTTCAATTCTGTTATTCTCACCCTTCAAAATCTGCAACTGGAAGTTCATCACTGGTATGAGCTATGAAGCAATATCCCTCTCCTGAATGAATCAGAATAATCCATTTTTTGCCCACTTTATTCTTTCAGATTTTTCTTTTTCTGTCTTTTTCCCACCATTTTTCTATTTGTTTTTTCATACATGTATCTGTGATCGCTCTCCATTTCTAAAGTATGAGTACCTTATTAGTTGCTAATAATTGATGCTGTGATTTGCAGACTACATTTTTCTTCTTTACGTCACCTTTGCATCAATCTGCTAGAAAAACACTCTAAATAAAGTTACTCTAATCTCTAAACAAGGCTGGGGCAAAAAATCAGATGTCAAAGCAAGAAAGTTGTACAAGAACAATTCATCTTTCTTAATTATGTATGAAAGATAGGGCAAAAAAATAATGCTTTAATTTTCATTTTGATTAAGTATTAAATTATGCCTTAGTTCTTCAAAGTGAAATTTTGAGTTGATCATTTGATGATGATGAATGCAAAGCTCTCTTTTCAGGTTGCTATTAATTAAATGGCAGAGGTGGGATTGTCGGTAACAGCAAAACTTGCTGAATATTTGGTGCATCCAACTTTACAGCAGCTGCAATATTTGTTGTGTTAGCAAAATCACCAAAAATGTTGAGATTATAAAGGAGCAGCTCATATTCACACAAGGGAGGGTGCAAGAACATGTTCAAGAGGCTATCAACAGGATTGACAAAATTGATGGCGAGGTTAACAAGTGGATGAATGACGTGAAAAGCCTCATAGCAGAGCTGGAGCATTTGGAGGAAGAACTAAGGGCCAACAATAGCTGCCTTCGAAAGTGGTGTCCTACATGGAGGAAATATTGTCTCTGCGAAAAGTTGGCCAAGACAACCCAGATGATGATAGAGCTAAATACAAAGAGTGAGCACTTGAATCCAATTTCCCATCGTGTTACTGTTGAGCTTAACTTTTGTCAAAGTCTCATGTTCTTCAACTCTACAAATAGGGCTTTCAACCAACTGTTGGGGGCATTGAAAGATGATGGCAACTCTATAATAGGGTTGTGGGGCATGGGTGGTTCAGGGAAAACCACCTTGGCAAAGGATGTGGGAATGAAAGCAAAAGAATTAAAGTTGATTGATCGCTTTGTGTTTGTGAGAATTTCTCAAACACTGAATGTCAAAAACATTCAAGATCAAATTGCTGACTTCTTAGGACTCTGTCTAGAAGAAAAATCTGAAGAGGGAAGGGCAAGTAGAATTGCTATGCGATTAAAAAAATTTAGAGGAATGGATTTTGATTATATTGGATGATGTATGGGATAATTTGAATCTTGAGAATATTAGAAATCCCTTACGAGAAATCATCCAAAAAGGTGCAAAGTTCTCCTAACCACACGCCATAGAAGTCTAAGGATTGATTGTCCATTGGTGGATTACCTAATGATTCCACTGGATTTGTTAACAGTTGAAGAATCTTGGACTTTGTTTAAGACTCATGCTAAAGTAGATGACAATGCTAAGGAAGTTGTGGCACATGAAGTTGCTAAGGAATGCAAAGGACTACCTATTGCAATTGTGGCAATAGGGGCATCCTTGAAAGGACAAGGACCTGATGAGATGAATGTTGCGTTGCACCAGTTGAGGCATTCAAAACTAATAGATGAGGATGATGGTGCGAGTACAGCTTATGCTTGCCTAGAATTAAGCTATAATTATTTGAAATCGTCAAAAGCTAAGTTGTTGTTGTCATTATGTGCTATGTTTCCTGAAGACCATAACATTTCCATTGAAGATCTTTTTAGATATGGAGTAGGGTTGGGCCTCGCTGAAGATGGAGGCTCATTCGAAATAGCAAGGAACCAAGTTAGAGTAATAATAAATAATCTCATTGACTCCTCACTATTGATGCACTCTTCAAACCTCGAATCACAAGAGTATGTGATAATGCATGACTTGGTTCAGGAAACAATTTTATTGATAGCATCTAATAAAGAGGATCATGTCATTAATGTAAACTATGCAAAAGAGATAAATGAATTTCTTGATGGTGAAGCGGTAAAAGATTACTATGCAGTAACTTCATGGCATCACACTAATGAACTACTTGAATTCCCTTCTTAATTGGATGCTCCAAAGCTCGAGATTCTATTGTTAGATTCAAGAAAAACCTTGGATTTATCACATGCATCATTTGAAGGTGTAAAAAGACTCAAGATTGTGGCTATTATTAATGAATATCATTCAAATGATCTCTTGTTGAGGGTAAAGCCTGAATCAATCCAGCAATTGCGTAATCTTCAAACTCTGAGGTTGCAAAATTGGGATTTAGGTGACATCTCTTATGTGGTAAGCCTTACAAGACTTGAAATTCTTGACTTGCATGGTAGTACATTTGAAAAACTACCAAGTGGAATTGAAAAGTTAAATAAGCTAAAGTTGCTAGACTTATCTATGTGTACAATAATTGAGTGTTGTTATGAAATAATAGAAAGGTGTTCACAACTAGAGGAGTTGTATGTTTATCCACATTTTCTACATCCAAAAAATGCAAGTTGTTATAAATACTTTGTGCATACCACTGGTTTGACAAAATTGAGAAGGTACAAGTTAGAAATAATGGGTCATCGTTTTGGCAAAGACTTTCAATTTTGGAACAAAGGCACAAGATCTTTACGCTTGCATCATCTAAATATCTCTCTGTTAGGTGTAATAATCAAGGATCTAGTACAAAAAGCTACTGCAATTCAATTTTATGAGCTCCAGGGAGGCTGCAAAAGTTTCATTCCTGATATGGTTCAAGATATAGGAGGCATGAATAAGTTAACTAAACTCCATCTTCAATGTTGTTCGGAGATAGAATGCATCATTGATGAAACTACTCTTCAAGAAGATATGGTTGTCCCAAAATTGGATGAGTTGAATTGAAACTAAGGGATATGTTTAATCTAAAACAACTATGTCATGGTCCTTCTCTTGTTAGCATGTTCCAAAAGCTAGAAAGTCTAAGTATATTCAATTGCCCTCAATTGCTCCACATATTCCCTGTTGATCGCAACTTGAGAAATCTTAAGTTTGTTAACATTTCCAAATGTCCAATGTTGATATCGCTCTTCCCTATCTCTGCTGCTTGTATTCTATTATCCCTAGAGGAGCTCCAAATAGAAGACTGCCATGAATTGAAGCATGCATTTGAGGGAGAGGGAGGTGGTGATGCATGGGAGAGTTTGAGATTCCTAAAACTGAAAACTATATCCATTCGTGATTGTGGCAAATTAAAATCTGTATGCCCAATGATCTTTTCAGTTTAAAGGTTTGTACAATTGCAAAGTCTATTCATAAGTAATGCTCCTCATATGAAATTTGTGTTTGGTGAAAATGGAGGTGTAGAACAAGCTGTGTATAATCAAATTGAGACTCAAATAGTGCTTCCTCTTTTGGAATATCTCACACTACAAAGACTCCCAAATCTTGTGGGAATTTGCTCAGAAAACTACCATCTCAGGTTCCCATCTATGAAGAAAATAGACCAGAAGAATTGTCCAAATATGGTATGCATTTGCTCTCCGATGCTAATTTTTAAAAAAAAAAAAAAATTCTTTGTTCACATCAGTAAATTTTTTTTAGCATATGTGAACTAGCAAGTAGTGCTCATATGAATACATATTAAGAGATGATGCAGTTCAATTACTTAGTAGATATTTATTCCCATTTTGTTATTTAAAATAAAAAATGAAATAATAAAATGATGCATGAATATGCTTTCTTTAAAAGCTTCCTATTTCCATGTCTAGAAAATACCTAATGTCATACGTGATTTTATTTTATTTTATTTTAATCTCATTATGCTTCTGAGTTAATAGTGCTCCATATATTATTTAAATAAAAATGCAGTAATGTCAACAATGGACATACATTGATATTTTCATTATTTCTTAAACTATCGATAGGTTTTTTAATAATTGTGCTTACATCCCCTCCAAATAAAACTGTCAAGAGAAATAAGCAATTGTGCTTTTGCATCTCGCCTGACATTCTTTAATATTTTGCGCCATAATTGTCGCCGTACGTACTCCACTCATTGCAAAATATTTCAATGCAAGGATAAATTATGTTTTGTTATTTGATATTTGGTCATTCTATTTATTTATCATTTCTACGGCCCACAATGAACATTCACTCCTATGGGCCAATCATCATAATTTTTCCTTAACTTCAATGTGGACTCCATTTTCTTGTGTATATGGTTGCGTTCTTTAATTGTTTAATTTTCCTAAAAATTAATAGACTAAGTATATATTCAATAATATTACATGGACAATAAATTTTCAATAAATCCCGATTAATGATATTTTAGGAAATATGTTAATGATTTTCATTTTTCTTCTCTTCTCTTCTTTCTTCCTCTTTTGCAAAGGAATTGTAGGAACTTACGGGCCATCAATTGAGGAATGAGAAAGAATACAAGCCATTGGCAGCTATCCAAAAGATTGAACGTCGTAACTATGGATTAGAGTCCATTTTCCACTATCAAACTAGGGTTGAAGAACAAATTCCAACATTTCAATACCTTAAAAAATTAACTTTGCAAAAATGTTCAAGATTGAAATTTTTCTTCTTTGCTCATCTCTGTCCAAGTCTTCCAGAATTAACTTCTGTAACCATATTTGATTTTGAGGAGTTGGAATCAATTTTTTCAAGGAATGAAGGAATTGAGAATAATCTATCCACAACTGAAACCTATCTGCCAAAATTGGAGAAATTGGAAATCAAAAAGTGCAACAAGTTGAAATTCATTTTATCTTTCACTATTAACAATGCTGCGACCACAATACTTCCACAGCTACGAGCTCTAACTATATCAGATTCTTTTCAGCTGGAAGAAATTTTTAGATGCTCTAGTATTGAAGATCATGACATTGACCGTGAAAGGGAGATTGTGTTCCCAAACTTGAACTATATAACACTTGACAAGCTTCCAAGACTTGTTAATTCCTACCATGGGTTTAAGTTGCACCCAGGGTTTTGCAGTGTGTATGTTCGTAAATGCCTAAAATTCATGCCAATGATAAGTGCAGCCATTGATTGGACAGAAGAGGTAAGTAATTAATATTCTACACTTGCAGTTCTCAATGCTTCGTTTTCCATGCTGCAAAACTTGCCTATATATGTTTTATTTTGCAATATTAATTCAATTTATGCTTGGTGAATATAGTGGCAGACCCACATTGTATAGGTGGGAGGGGCTCATCCCTTCATAGATAGCACTAAGGGAGAATAAGAAAAAGATCACTGTAGTCAGCATGTGTGTGTGAGGGAGAGTCTTGTGAGGGAGGAAAAAGATGAAGGTGAGATTCTGAGAAAGAGAAGAGAAGAGAGAGATCAGTAACGAAGTTGAGTATATTATTGAGATGTGAATAAGAAATTGAGATTTGAAAACAACTTTTTATTATTTTATATGCTATGAAAATATGAGTCATCATATATTTTTAGTAAAATTTATTCATTTAATTTATATTGAATTCATTTATGGAATATGTAAGAAAATATACTGAAATATACATTTTTATATATTTTTGATTATTTTTTTCTTGAAACCAATATACGGACACACATATATGCATGAGATTTCACTTTTTATATTATTTTACGTTTTTTATTATTAAAAAAATTTAAAAAGTATAATACAATATATATATCTATATATAATTGGGAAAAACTTCTATATTTAGCCCTATATATTTAATGTGCTGTTTTCAATAAAATCAAGACATGTGAATTTTTTATAAATTATTTATTCTATAATAAATTCTTATTATTAATTTTATTAACATATTAAGATCTACTTGTCATAATTTGATTGGAAGAAAGTATAAATATTAATATATAAAGCTAACTCCATAAGTCTTACCATATATAATTCTCTTCACATGCATATGCACTGGATATCTACATACAGACATACATACATATATGTTAATACGATATTTCTTTGTATGTAGTTCTTTTTTATGTTCCTATTTCACATAATTTTTCGTTTCTTTCTGCATCCTACTATACAAAAGGTTGAGTTTATCAATTAGGGACTATTTTACGATGAACGTGAATTGTTCCTATAATATTATTTTTATGTGACAGTCATCATCAATGATAGTTCTAAGTTCTAACAACAGAAGCTGGAGAGCGAAAAACTTTCATCTGTGCGATGTATTAGATATTTCTTTGTTTTAATAACCACATTTAAGTTTAATAAATACGCAAAATATAATTAAGGACACATGTTATATCCTTGCATACAAAGATATTGGTCAATTTGATCTCTTTTTCTTTTGCTTATCTTTTGACGGAACTTATAATATATACTTTCCCATCTACTTTAACCTCTTTGTTATATGCAGGGGCTTGTAAGAAAGTATGTGTTGAAAACAAGCCAATTAAATAGAAATGAAGCTCTCAATCTATCACCCACTATTCTAAATGTTGGAGAAGTTGATATTCAAAGTTCTAGAGTTGATCATGAGTTTCAAGTCATGGGTGATGACAACCAAGAAGAAACCATGGGCTTAGAATGTTTGAGATCTGAACAACAAATGCTTGGAGGTCATGTTCCGACACAAGTTTTGAGCTTCCAATATCTGCATTCCTTAGAAATGATTCAATGCAAAAAGTCGAAGTTTTTATTCTCAATGAGCACCATTGTTGATAACAGCCTTCCCAAATTGAGTTCCCTAACCTTATCTGATTGTGAGGATTTGGAGGTGATTTTTGGATATGGTAATGAAGATGATCCAACTATGATGAAAAAATTGTGCTTTCAAGCTTAAGGAAGATCAAGCTTGAGAATTTGCCAAATCTCATCAGTGTTTGTCAAGGAATGCAAATTCAGGTGCAACTGAGCGACATCAGCATATGGAATTGCCCAAAATTTCTTGATTCAAGTTTGGGATTGACTCTTCAACAAATGGGAACAATATTGGTGCGAATAAATATTTTATATGATGTCGATTAGAATCTTTAAAATGAAATAGAATAATATATAGATTAGAATCATATACATCATTTTTCTAGCTGCAACTACATATATATATATATATATATAAATGGTTAAAGGGCATCTTTGGCCCTCAAATATTCACCCATGAGAATTCAGTATCCTAAACTTTCATGTAGAACTATATCAAAATATTGACAAGGAAAGAACAATTGTGTGCAGTGCACGGTCTATCATTCACAAATTATTTTGATAAAAAGTTATTTACAGTAAGACAAAATCATAAGTTGATCTTTGTTTGCCATGTAATCATACATTGATATAAACATGCATTTGAATATATGTATATATAAAATTTGCTCGATGTTCTTGAATTTCTATTTTCAATATATTTAGTTTTTCATTTATTAAATCCAAGTATAAATGAAAACTGTAAGTATTAAATTTCATTGATATGAATAAATTATTTATTTTTCTTTATTGAAGTTGCAGTTCCCCAAGCTTCGACAAAAAATTCAGATTTACAAACTATAGCAGATGTAGAAAAACAATTATATCAGAATGAAGAAAAAGGGATAGTCTTGATGATCTCAAGAGAAGAAAGATTGAGTTTGAGGGATTCAGGTAACTTCTTGTGTGTATGGGAGGGTCCCACTCTCATTAGCTTCCAAAATCTTTCAGAGTTACATGTGAATGGAAGCAAGAAATTGAAGTGTATCTTCCCCAGCACTGTCATCAAAAGCCTACCATGTTTGTGGCATCTATACATTGATGAATGTGAAGAGTTGGAGGAAATAATGTCATCAGAGCCTCACTTTCCAAATGCTTCCTCTTCTTCCTTCTGCTTCCCACTACTTCATTGGCTTTATGCCATTAAATGCAGAAAGTTGAAGTGGCTCTTCCCCTCTCTGCCCTCTACTCAACATCTTCGACAGTTGGAAACTCTGATAATAAAAGAGTGCTTTCAGGTAGAGAGACTTTTTAATTGTGAAGTTGAAATCCAAGAGGAAGGGTTCTACAAAAACCAACTTTCAAAGCTGCAATTTCTTGAAGTTGCGGATTGCCCCATGTTCTCTGAAACCACACTCGCTGCTCTTCAAAGCACTGCCTCTAAGCACTACTACAAGAAGTACGCATATTGATGCCATCCACACCTTCCCATATTTCACATAATAACATCATTCCTATTTTTTTTTTATTTTTTTGGTAACCTATTTTCTTTTTCCTTGCATGATGTTCTGACTCAGAAATATAGGAATTGCACATCTATTAAAATTCTTATTTATTTTGAACTTTTGTATGTACCATATCCTTCGTCACCCTAATTCTTTTCAAAAAGATGGAGCTGATATGTAACTTTGGTTCTGGCTTCGAGGAAAAAAAAAGAGATATACAAGTTTTGGAACTATAGTATGAAAACGAAATGTTTACACATGCATGCTGCATATATTTTTTCGCACGTGAGACTCATTCTTTGTTTTGAAAATTTATTATAAATTGATGATTTTGATATTGTAATTTTCTTATACTTGTGCAGTTGGACGATGTAGCCACCACCGCAGTGTTGGAGTGATGACGAGGCCAGGGGGTGATGGATTGTTTGGTAAAAAAATTAATTTTTTTAAAATAGTAATTATGATAGAACTAAAATTATAGTAACATAAATAGATTGATGGTGTTTTTATCATGGAGGAGGAGATGATTGTGATATGTAATTAAGCCTGAGCTATTTATAAAACCTGTGAGGCTCTGTTTAATGTAATTAAGTATATGGGGATTGCAATGTGTGATAACTAGCGTACAATTTTTATAACGTTCATCAAGTTTAAATTAACACCTATATTGTAATGACCTTGATAAATAAAATATAAATACATAATAATTTGTTGGAATGTATTTTTTTTCATGTTTGGAGCAATTATAACAAGAATGAGTATTGATGTAGTGGATACTATGCAAATAATACCCTCATGGTGCTTTTTTTTTTTTAGGGGGAATGGCACTAAAGGCTCTAAAAGGCAAGAATTTTGCAAATAAGACCTAAGAGATTCTGAAATTATTTTGAGGGCCTAAAAGCCTCATTTGCAATTATATTTTCTAGTGAAATGACCAATTTGTCCCTCCCATAACCAGCTATTGAATGAAAATTTCTTCTTCTTCTTCCTATGTTCTTCCTCCCTCTTCCTTTTCTCTCTTCCTTTTTCAACACTAATGCAATAACCAAATTTATTTTCCTCCTCATCATGTTTCTCTATTCCATCTCTTCTTCTTCCTCCTTCCTCCTTCTTCCTTCTTTCTCTCATTTGAACTTTTTCATTCAATAGGTATGAGTGGACGATCCACTTTTATCCAAATGGGTATGGAGAAGACGATCAAGCATTCGTCTGATTACATTTCTCTCACACCAACCAGCTTCTTGAAATGATCCGCCATAGTGTGGAAAGAATAGATCAAGTACTGCATTTGCCATTATCAATTTTATTTTGTCAAAAAAGGATATAGAGAGAGTTTGAGCTACATCAGTTTTATCTAATCATAATGTATGCGTTCACGTTCATTTAATGAAAACAAATTATTTATAGACTTTTTGTTGTTTCTGATACATATTTTTCTATAACTGATATACATGTTCTGGTGTAGATGTTGTTTATGAAATTTATGTTGTTATTTATGGAGTTTACATTGTGTAAACTTTACAATTAACTTGTGTGGATATTTATGTGTATCATATCGACAAATCTTGTATTGTAAATATATAGACATTGTATTGTTAGCAAATGAATACTTTCATGTTATATACAGACCTTTTATTCTTCATAAACTTGAGAAACTTTTTCAAATGTTCAATTTAATCACACAAATTATGTAAAATAGATGGACATTTTGTTATTAATAAATAGACCTTATCATATTATATACAAACTTTTTATTGTTCATAAACTTGAAAAACTTTTTATTAAGCCTAGCCTACTGATAAAGTAGAATCTTATAGACTTTTAGTTGAGAATAAATGAACCTTATATTGTGCATAGTGGATATGTGCTATGCATTGTTTGCCTATTTGTACATTTTGTTAAAACTAGTCTGCTGATAAAGTAAAATCATATGGACTTTTAGTTGAGAATATATGAACATTATGTTATGCATAATGGATATTGTGTTATGCATTACTTGCTTACTTGTGCATTTTATCAAGCCTAGCCTATTGATAAAGTAGAATCTTGTGAACTTTTAGTTGAGAATAAATGAACCTTATATTATGCATAGTGGATATTGTATTATGCATTATTTGCCTATTTGTACATTTTGTTAAGCCTAACCTACTGGTAAAGTAAAATCGTATGAACTTTTAGTTGAGAATATATAAACTTTATGTTGTGCATAGTGGATATTGTGTTGTGCATTGTTTGCCTGCTTGTGCATTTTGTCAAGTCTAGCCTATTGGTAAAGTAAAATCTTATAGACTTTTAGTTGAAAATAAATAAACCTTATATTGTGCATGGTAGATATTGTATTATGCATTGTTTACTTATTTGTGCATTTTGTTAAGCCTAGCCTACTGATAAAGTAGAATCGTATGAACTTTTAGTTGAGAATATATGAACCTTATGTTGTGCATAGTGGATATTGTGTTGTGCATTGTTTGCTTACTTGTATATTTTGTCAAGCCTAGCCTATTGATAAAGTAGAATCTTATGAACTTTTAGTTGAGAATAAATGAACCTTATATTGTGCATAGTGAATATTGTGTTATGCATTATTTGCCTAACTTCAATATTTTGTTAAGCCTAGCATAATGATAAATGAGAATCACATGGACTTTTAGGTGAGAATATATCATAAACTTTTTTTTCTTGCAACCATCTTTAACTAGCCATCCTCCTAGGAGGCTATGAATAAGGAGGATAAAGTCTTCCAAGATAAGAAGATTTATCATTGTTCAAGATGTGGGAAGGCTGGACACAGTTGCAAGACATGCAAGAATCCTAACCCAGCATGAGAAGTGGTTATATTGTACTTCTTTGGTGTACACAAGCAACTATAATTATGTATATAAAAGCATTTCCAAATAATATTTTTTGGGTAAGTGGGAATCATAAATATTTTTTGTTTGTATATGAAGAAGCAACTGTTAGATATTTTGGTTATATTAGCTAACTTTTTATATATATCAGACTTGAAATATTGTGTCAAATTTTGTGTGGGTACTTGTTTTAGTACCTAGGCTAACACCAACATGAAATTATTCATATATGATGTAATTATCCTTCTTAATATTGAAAATGCATAGACTTTCTATTGAGCATGTGTGGATATCGTCTTATATATAGTGAATATTGTGTCGTGTATGGTTTGCCTAACATCATTTTGTTATAGCCTAGGCTAGTGAAATACTGAAAATGTATGAATTTTTTGTTCAGCACACATGGACATCATATTATGCATAGTGGATGTTATATCGTGCATAGTCTATTTTGTTATTTTGAGAGTTCACACAGGTTCTGAATTCAAATCAAACAAAGGGAAAAATCATACTTTTGGTCTCAAGAAAATTGGCAATAAGGGCCTCAAGGCCTGTAAAGCAATATCAGATTTATTTAGGCCTAAATTGTAATAAAATCTGTTTTTAAGGCCCTTAATGCCATTCCCCCTTTTTTTACTTTATGAAATTACCAAAGTGCCCTTATCTCAACTAGATTTTTCTTCTTTCCCTTGTCTATGTGTGTTCTGTGAGCAAAGAGAGGGTTGGAAAGCAAAGTACAAACCCATGCCCTGTCACCTGTCGTTTCTGCTCTTCTTCCCTCTCAATCGGTTGCCTGTTTTTCGTGTTAGTCACTGTCGCCAGTGTGCTTGTGCCATTTCATTCACACTATCATGAGTTTTTTTCCCTAGTTCTTCATCATTTTTTCCCTCGTTCTTCGCCAGTGTCAAGGAGAGAAGTTAAATTGAAGTCAAAATTCTAGTTTAATGCTGCCATGTGAACTATGGAAGATTATGATTTAATTTTTCTTAAGAAAAGAATGATTTATTCAATGAAGAAAAAGGAATTTAGGAAGCTGATTTGTCATTTATTTATATATTAGAGAATTTTGGAAGATGGAATCAAAGAGGAAGAAGTTGGTTTGAACTTGCAAAAATTAGTGCATATAAGGTTTTTCACATAATGCTTATTTGAAGAAATTTTATTTAGTTTTTGTACAATTTTTAAAATTCAATTGATCCTTGTGAGTGATATATCCAAATGGAGTGCTATTGCTTTATGAATCAAAGTTGAAGACTCCAAAGGAAATTTGAGTATGAATTTGTATGTAACCATTTACATACTTGGGATTTGTATGGTTATTAATAAATTATTGGATATTTTAATTGAATGGTTAGAAATAATATACCTAACCTATTTGATGCAAAGCTTAAGAGAAAATTATGTTTCAAGTAAGTAGATTGTCATGGCTAAAGTAATATGGAGGAGGAGATTAATAATATGAATGATAATACTTGAACCAACCCTAAAGCATGAATTTTGAGTTTTGGAATTTAAAATGATGGTAGTTGATTGGGATTATGTTAAAAGTTGAAAATATATTAAAAAATTTTGTTATTTCATATCCTTATAGGGTGTGTGGAAGAACAAGACCTAATAGGAATTGAAGGAAGAATATTTTTGGGAATTCAAAATTCTGACACACGTAAGTGAATGGCATCCCAATTAATTTATTAATAAAATTTTTTTGGAAAGTGTATTAATGCCATTTTACTTTCTAATTGTTTATTAGTAATAAATCATATTTATCAAAGAATGAGTCTTTTATTGAATTTATTTTGATTTGATGAATCAATTTGTTTTGTGAAATTATTTTATCCTATGAAAATATATATAACTGTGGCAAAAGAATAATTAAGTTATGACATGTACATATATTTTCTTTATGAATTATATTTTTAAGATTAATGAAATTATTTTGATTAGCTTTGAAAATTTTAGTCACTAATTAAATGCAAAAATGAGCATTATTTATAAATTTTATTTTGACAACTATTGAATTGATGCTAAAGTTGACTCATATGAGTTTGGTATTAAGAATGAAAATTATATTTTAAAAATGACTATTTTTCTCGCGTGTTTGAAAAAAAATTTTGAGAA